TTCAACTTTGATTGCCTACACATTTGTTTAACATTATATCAAAGTAGAGCCATTCTTGGGTTATCAAACATCAAAATAAATGAATTAAAACATATTATATTAAACTAAAATGACCCGATCAAACCTCCCCAACTTTATTCCAAATTAATCCAAAGATTGGCCAAAAAATCACCAACATAGTCTTAACCTCTAATACTAAGAAAAACTCAATGAAATCATGAATTTCGTATAATTTGTCATAACGTTTCAAAGAACCACGATATATCGATTTTGTGTATCTAATTACTTATCCAGAACTTTTGAACATATAATGTTATTACTCTTATTTTACTTTGGTATTTAAAACCCTCTACTTTTTTAATCTTTTCCAATAATCAACCCCCTAAGTAATCAGTTGAACTCTTTGTCAAAAGTTCTTTTCCAAGGTTCACTAACAAAGTTAGCATGGCCGGTAACACTTAATGGACCAACTCATACACTCCTGTTATTGAGGGGTCACATACTGTTTCACAGTGTCTTCCAATTAAACTTTTCTTCATATTTGTTTTGATTGTGCATTCTTTGAGTTCTTTGATAACTTCTAGTATGGTAATGATTGAGTTACATCATATTTGATCAGATTCGTAAGATTCACATGAGCTAGAATCTTATTGAAAGTTTATTTTTTGATTAATAAAGTTTAAAGTATTCTGTTTTTTCTATGGTTTTGATTAGTTTTATAATTGCACGTACTCATTCTTTCTTTTTGACTATTCTAACACAGCGTTTAACCACAAACTTCCCGTGGATTCGACCCTTACTTAACCTAACTATCTAGTGGTTTTTGAGGTTATTTTTTATTAAGACAACCACCCCAAATACATGAGGAGTTTGCGGCGCCAAAATTTGATCGAGGTCGTTGTCTCAATCAAAAATAACTTCAATAACCACCCGATAGCTTGGGTAAGTAAGGGTCGAATCCACGAGGAGTTTGTGGTCAAACCTTGTGCTAAAATAGTCAAAATAAAAAAAAACTAATACTTTAAATTGTCATAAAATCACTTTTAATTAAGAACAAATAAAAAATATAGACTTTATCAACTATGAATTACTAAAATGAAACTCTCAATGAGAAAAGTAAGGCACTACCGGTTCAGTTATTGACAGGTTAGATTCACACACGTTCTTCCCTAAAATCCTAATTCAATTAATTAGATGCAATTCAGGTTTATTATCTTGTAACATATAATTTTGGGTACATTATATGTTCATTCAACTAGTTGTCTTACCCTATATCAGATTGGATTAGGAACAATTAGTGGATTGGCAATAAAGTATCTTGCAACTACCTATTATCATATTAAGTACTTAATATCACAAGTTGTTAGGATATATGTGGATTCAACCAATTGTCTTTGTTCCTAAACTACTTGAACTCGGAACAATCGATGAATTGACTATATACTATTTTAGTTACGAAATCAAATAAATTCACACAACCCAATTTCAATTACCATTACCAAATATCATCACATGAAGCGTAAAACAACAATTGAAATTAACAGAATCAAGTAATAATCAATTGTGTTCATCCAAAAGTCTTAAACATACCCGGAACTAACCCTAATGGTTTGGACTTTCATTGAATTCATAGAATAAATAACTTGGAGAAAAATAATGAATTGCATACTAGAATCCAAAAACAAACTTAGAATTATCAAAAAAAAATATAGCCTAATGATTATCAAAGTATGAAACAAGTAAACCTTGGGGAAGAAATAATAATTTCTGGAAATGAATGGAATTGATGATGATCCACCAATTGAACGATCTTCAAACTTTACTTGATGAGGAATTCAATGAAATTTCACATTAAATCCGGATTGGAGTGATCACAAACGTGTTTGGAGAATCTTTAAACGTGTTTGGAACCCTCAAATAATGAGGAAAGTTGTAGGGGAGAATTCCTCTTTTGATTAGGGTGGAATCCCCTTTAAATAAGTGCTATAAAACTGATTTTCGGAGCTCTTTTTCCCATGGGCGTCCTAGACGCCGACTAAAATGTTGGGGAGTCATAGAGGGCTATTATGGCATTTTAGACGACACCTTGGAAGTTGGGGCGTCATGTAGGGCGTCGTAGTGGGCATCCTAGACGCTGACCGGTCTTCCAAGCCAATTTTACTTATGAAAATCGTCAAACTAGCAGAAACACAAAACACGAAAGTCATTGGCAATTTTGTCTAGTTTCCGAATCATCTTGGTAAAAGGGCTAAAATTCTCTTTACTTTATATTGATTATTTGATATTTTTATTAATAACTAAAATATAAAATATAATTTTTAAGTAGTTAATGCAATATGGATTTTCGGTTTGGTTCGGTCTAAAGTTTATGAGACCTTCAAAATTCGGTTTGGTTTCAAACCAAACCACAAACGAATTTGAATATGGTTTAATCAGAAATCGATTTCGATTTGATTTGATTTAATTTTTGAGTTATTTGGTTCTGCACTAAATAATTCTCTTTATTATTACTTTTCAAATGGGAGGTTGATATGATTTATAGTCCAACATTATATAAATTTTTGGAAAATCTCAAACCGACATCGCAAAAGTTTTAAACCACATTATAAAGTGTGTTTTGTGTGGTTTCATAAACGGACTTATATATCATCCTTGTAAAGCTTGTGTTTGCTTTTTTTTTTTCGGATAATAACTTGTATTTGGATTTCTAGATCTATTAATAAAAGTTAGAAACTATACCTTTGGTTTCGTGGTTAAGTTGACTACGACAATCATTTATGAAAGATATCTTTTATAAGTAACTTATAACTTATTAGATCATTAATAATTGAGTTTTTTCTTTTCAAAACAAGCCATATATAATAACCACTTTTGTTTTGAAGAAAAAAATAATTATAATAGAACTTACAAATAATGACAATAGAAGTTAGTAACAAAAACCAACCCTAGAGGAACCTAATGTATACAAAGAGGAACTGTGGGTACCCTCTCCATGGGATTCAACCATCAACCAATATGCTTTTGGCCCAATAAGGATAAAGAGTGATTCTCTCAATTAAATGGAGTTAGTGTTAGTTATTCATTTAATAATAATAATAATTATTATTATAATAATAATTTTTATATAAAATTGATAAAAACTCAACTAATTATTATTTGTTTAATATGGATAGTCATCAACTTATTTAAAATCTTCAAGCCATTTATTATAATTTAAAGAATGGAAAACTAAAAGTAATATATATATATATATATATATATATATATATATATATATATATATATATATATATATATATATATGTGTGTGTGGTGCAGTATGTTTGGAACTACAAAATTATAACTAGAAACAACAAAATTATATTGAATAGAATTGCAAACCACAATACATATATGTTCTAGCCCATATTATTCATGCGGTGTGGATGATTTATGCAGTTTATGTGATTTTATGAGCATCCTTACAATCTTCTTTTGATGGTTTACTTGGTAAGACATGTAGACGATGTGGCTCACTAACCATTTACACATATTCAAACCATGGGAGTTACATTCATGGCTGACAAGGAGAAGGATTTGCGATACCGTTCGTTACGATGTGGAAAAACCGTTATATACAGAGCCCTAATTTCCAAACTTTTTTCAAAGGAGCCTTTCTTTCCAAACAAAACCCTTCGAGCTAGCTCATCATTTCACAAAATGTTAGACTGTGATAATAATAAAACTTTTGAATTCAAGGGTCAACACTAAATTTCATACTACAGGAAATTTTAGTAGTGTCGTGATGATGAAAAAAAAATCAATTTTTTTTTGAGATTTTTTACACTGTGTTTGAAAACTAAATGTTGTCAGTATCACTACGAGCATCATAGTAAAATCGTGGTGCTTTTGATGTGGTGATGAATTAATGATTTGACATTATTCGGTCTATATCCATAATTTTCAAAGTGTAAACTCGGCTTTTGTTTTTGGGTACAATCGTTAACTCCATTATTTTACATTATTTTTCCATTTCACATTATATTGGTTTTAGGGCTTAAAGTTATTAAATTCCATTTCACTCACTCTATAGTCTTTCACTCTTAAAGACCCGTACATACCCATTACATGAAATTTGAAGTCTTGCTGTTATAGATTCTTTCAGATCTTTATGACCTTTTAAGCCCACAAACTTTCAAGTGTAACACAAGTACACAACATGCTCATAGGTCATATTTGAATCTTAGGTATCATTTTTTTAGAACGACTTTTTAGGTCACATGTCTTATAGTACCCTGCTTAAAAAAACAATATAATTGCGTTGCTAAAGCTAAATTTATTTAAGATATTTCCGAATCAAAATTATTGCAATTCTCATGATCATGAAGAGACTATATGTGTAGTCTTGTTTCTAAAATCCAAGACAGTGAATAGTACATGAAACCAAATATCTCTGTCGTCCTGACTAAAGACAAAACACACGAGACTCACTGATCAAACACGGACTCTAAACTATATCGAATTATAAGTAAAATTTTAGTGCAAATTAAAAAAACCAATTTGATTCTTGTTTATTTTAATTTCACAAAATTATTAATATATTAAATAAAATTATACAAACTATACTGGTAGAACAATAATATAACTTTTTTATTAAGCGATTTCGAAGTCATGGATATTTAAATACCAGCTTATGTTTTTTTGTACAAGTGCTTATTAGATTAACGCAATTTAAGAAAAAGTTTTGTTGATTAACTTATCTGATACAAACATTTAAATTAGCTTATTAATGATTCCAAACCATAATAATCTAAAAGTACCTTATATAAGCAATCTCATACACCCCCCTTAACCAATTTAAAATAAAATATAACTCAAATCAACCCATTTTTAGGTGAATTGGTCGAAATTACAAGAGAAGCGACCAATGAACTCAACAATATACACAATTTACATAACATGGCCATCAATTGAAGCAGTTAAAATTAAAACTTAAAACTTAAAATAAAATTCATAGAGGATTTTTTTTTTTTTTTTTTTATTTGAACTCGTCTTGCCCTTTGATTCTTGAACAAGTGGCATGTAAATGCATCAAGAACTGTTGCAAGTATTTTTTTTTTATACTGCAATCGAGTTCATGGCCATTGCCAATGGAGTAGGATGATATACAAAAAGGCTTTGCGCGTCATCATTGATTATATCTGGGAAAGAAAGGGACCAATTATAAATACTTGTATTGTTAGGGTAAAGAAATGTAAATACATTGAGATAAATGATTTGCTATAATGAAAACATGGGTGGCGCTCTTAATTGCATCTAACCCCACTTCTTGTTTTGGCTAGGAATTAGGATAGTGACACATTATAAGAGATCTTTTCCAAGAGGTATTTTACCTTTTTACCCTCTTGTTAGGTATGGAACCTAATTTAGATTTTTTTTTTTTTTTTTTACTTAATCACAAACTCACCATCTATTTCACAAACTGATTTCGGGAAATACCTATTTTTTCATGCTTTATCAGTGGTCTCCACTACAAAAATCATCACGATTTTTGTAGAAGTTTTAAATGAGGACCACTGAAAAAGCAATTTCGTAAAAAATGGTATTTCCCGAAATCAATTTTCGAAATTGGGTGTCAAGTTTGTGAAAATGTTGAAAATGTGGTTATTTGGTGATATTATATTTTCCCAAATTTGGTAACTTTTTGTAATATAAATTTAAAAATAAAAAAATAAAAAAAAAGTATATGAATTGACTAACCTGCCTTCTTCTTTGCCTTAAAATCATCAACCATGAACGGCTAACCACATAACATGGAAGAAGAAACCCCGCCAGCTGAAGAACAGAAACCTGAAACTACATTCATAAATAGTCAACCAAAAAAGTCAAACTATATGTTATAGATCAAATTTAGCATTATTTATTATTTAATTCCAAATAAAAAAATATATATATATAAAAACTTACTTTAAAGATTTTGGATGACTCCGGCACCATTCCCAGGTCTCTTGTGATTAACAAAGCTTGGCGTACAAGTAATATTAACATCAACTGCATGTGTAACAATAAGTAAACAATTATACAAATATTTTGATACATAAACTTTTACAAAATTTTATTATTTTGAGTTTTGAACTTTTGACACTTTTTTATTACTTACAATGAGAGCCATAAAACGGAGGTAAGCAATGCTTGAATTACTTGATACATCATACTCTTCATAATCTTGTTCGAGAAACTGGTGCTCAGAAGCAAAAGCTAAAAAGTGAGTATCCCTGAGGTCAATTTGTGGGCCCCATGCATGTCTGAAAGAAAAGTTTTAAACATATAAATTTAACTTTATATTGGAAAAAAGAATATAAAACGTGATGTTTTGGGAAGAAAATAGAAAAGAAAAAGAATATAACCTGATATCAATAGTCATAACATCGGGATTAATTCTTGCGGGTGGAAGCGCATAATTTGGTGAATAAACCTATAAATTTAATCATAAATATATTACAGTTTTAATAATAATAATAATAATAAATTACTGAATTTTATAAATGGGAGTGAAAAAAGTTGAAAAGAATAAAACCTGATTGCATATCTCACAGGTTATATCCCCTTTCTTGTTGCACCATTTTTGAATGCATTTTCTATGAGCAAACTATATAAAAAATTACAATAAAAATCCGCATGTCAAATTCGTTTGGGAAAAAGTTCTCAAAGATCCCCAACAATCCGCCCAATTACTACTGATAGAAGAATTTGAACACAAGAATATACGTGGAAACTCCAAAACCGAAGACAAAATCCAATATATAACAAATTATTACAATCACATAGACTAATCTCTCAAGCCACCCCACTTTCCACAAGTTTAACACACTTTTTTATACACAAGAAGAAATAGAAAAGATTAGAATACTTAAAGTGTATTTGGTTGGGGTACATTGACACCCACCTTTTCTTTTGCCATCAACGCAAGAAAAGACAACCATTTGTGTTGTTTTAGTCAATTCACCAATACTAAAATAGAATACTTTAGGCATAAAGATGTTACAATGTTTGTATACAAGAATTCCACTTCGATTATTGTGGTTAAAGTGGATACTTTTATTTAGATTTAAGTTAAGTTTGTGTTTAAACTTTAAACTATACAATCAAACAAGTAAAAAGGAAAACCATATCATATCCATAATCCATACCATAACCCATAACCCATAACCCATAATCCATAATCCATAATCCAATTAGATATAAGGAAAATAAGAGGGCCCCTATCAAGTAGATATAACATAGAAGGAGCTATCAGCTGTGCCCTCATTAAATTATAGCTCTACTGTCCAAGTACACAACAGAACAACTTAGCATCATAAAGCTTTAACAAGATAAGATATTAGAATCAAACATGGACCCATTACCCATTGTGGGACCCATAAAACTACTTCCAACTTTTGCAATTGTAAAACATAAGATCAGAGTTCAAATCCCTAATTTTGGAAAAAGTTAGATTGAACACCCAAAGAAACTAAGAATAAGAATAAGAATAAGAAGCAGAATAAGAAAGAGAAATAAACCTTGAGGGTGCCATTACAGGCACAAGGAGATTCCAATTCGTGTTCTCCGTCTTCTTCTTGACATATTCTACACTCTCTGATCACCATCTTTGAGAAACCTTCTTCTTCTTCTATGTTGCGATTTAAATCATCAACATCGCCATCATTTCTGGTGTTGTTTTGAAACAATTTCACTACAGTTTTAAGTTCGTCTCCTGTGGTGATGTTGGAGGAGGAGTCTAAGCAAGATGATGCTGTCATTCGTTCGACGCAGACCATTAATTGTTCATAGAACACGCACTCAGTCACACACTTCTTGTGAAGCAGAAGTATGGGGAAGAAGGGGGAAGTGTGAAGTCTGAAAATTAGGAGAGAGAGAGAGAGAGAGAGAGAGAGAGAGAGAGAGAGAGGAAGAAGAAGAAGAAGAAGAAATGGGCCGAGAAAGACTCGAATGTTTTAAAAAGGTGGAGGTGTGCACTGGGAAAGTTACTAAAATGGACGTGTCCTCTTTTCGAAATGACAATATTGACCTCTCTTTTTACTTAATTCACTCTTTTACCATATATACGTATTCAACCTTAACACTAAAAATTATATTAAAATCAATTTATTTCTGAACAAATACTAAAAATATATTTTAATAAATATTAATATAATAATTATAAAAGTAAAAATTAATTAAAATAATATTATTTTTATGGAAAGAGGTTTTTATATAGATTATGCGTTTAATGGTCGATAATTGATAACTATGGTTCTATATAAAATAAAAATTTGTTGGAATTGCTTCTAATTCGTATGATTTGATGTACTGTTTTAAACATTATTCCAAAGAGTTATGTTTAGATTTTTAAGAATTGTGTATTCATATGTTTCAAAATCTATAGAAACGTATAAGAAGTTACATGAACTTAGATTTAAGATTAATCAAGAGATTATTCCGAAGAATTTTAGGAAAACATTGTTAACATGTATTATTGTATGTTCTATGAGATAAAATTTTGTACAAAATGCAAGAGAAAATTGGTCTTCTGTAAAAACTAAAAACTAAAAACCTGTAAACAAATATGTGTAGTTAAATTTGGGTTAGTTTTTAGCATGAAGAAACATATTTGTTGTTAAAAGACATTGTTGTTGCCAAAAAAAACAAATTTAGTCTTTAAAACACGTACACAGTTTCAAGCGGAGTTGATCATAGCCGACAAGAGCGGCTCATATTGACTCCAAACGTTGACCGGCTAATTGGCACCGCCAAGGGTTGTTCTATAGACTTTGTTAGGGCATTACTCATGGATTACATGCTCAAATGAACTTATATGAGTGTGCATCTCATATTTCTTTAACTTACAATATTTTAAAAGAAAAATAAAATCAACATGTCTCAAATTAATTTCGGTCACACTAAAGTGTTGTTTGTTTTTTGGGAAGAAAAAAAAATCTTTTGACCATTTTTTGTTGCGTCGCGTAACACTTGTTATATCACAGTTGTTTGTTTTTTTAAAAGAATTCAATTTATAAATCCTAATTGCGTGTTCTGCATCACATAACATTTGATTTGTTTCTTCAAACAAATTCTACCCTAGCCCCTCCTTCATCGGTGCCTTGCTCAACCCCTTCTTTGACAGTTTCTAAGCATATTAATACAGTAAAGCAGCATCATGTCTTCATTAAGTATCTTTTCAGACATAATAAGCACTTTCAAAAATATATAACAACACCAAACACATACTAACATCATCAAGGTCTTAACAATTAAGTTCATAACTACTTAACAATTACGCCATTAACAAATCATTAAGCACTTTCACATGCCTTATATAAACATACACATATACATTCATGCTAACACATACATACATACATTATAAATACATAAATTCTTCTTTGCATACAAATACATATATAAGTATATACATATAGCAAGTAAAAATGAGCTTGTGGCATGCAAATTTCGTCTAACAAAAGGTAGTGGTCGCAAGCATAAAGGGAGATGATATTGTTGTGGTGGAGGTTGCACTTACTTGATGAAAATAAGAAGTTAATTAAGGGTGACAAAAAGAAGGAGCTAAGGGCGTTTACCTGACGACAAAACTCTGATGGTGTATTAACACATAATATGAATTCCTCTTTGTTGTATTATGTATATTTATCACATGCTTTATTTATTTTGAATAATTAGATAAAGATAGAAATAGTCTTCCATAATTGTTGTAACAGATCCAATATTATCGGATCCCCCTGTATATGTATTAGACTTTTCATTCAATAAAAGATAAGTCTTCAATCACCACTTTTATATGGTATCAGCCAGGAGTCCTTAAATACATTTTCCCGGCAGCCATCTCTCATCATGAGCACCGGTAGTTCCTCTTCTTCTTCTTCTATCATTCATACTCTACCTCTCAACACTCCATCCCTCACTGTCATCCAATTCCCACCATCACTCAAATTACGATCCACCAATTACATGAGTTGGAAAACTCATATTGAAGCTCTTCTATATGGCTTGGATCTCTATAAATTCATTGATTGTTCCAACCCATCTCCCAAGCCCACTGTTGCAGAAAACGGCACCACCACTCCTCATCCCGACTATGATGCCTGGTTCCGTCAAGATCGATTACTTTTTGGAGAAATCGTTGGTACTCTATCTCCTTCCATTGTTCCTCTCATCACCAATGCATCCTCATCCCTAGATGCCTAAAAGATTTTATCAAACACTTATGCAAAACCATCCAGAGCCCATATCAAACAACTTCAACATCGCCTCAAACAAATCACAAAAGCCTCAGATCAATCCATCATAGATTACATGCAGTCCATTAAAACTATTGTGGATGAATTAAGTATATTGGGTAAACAAATGGATGAGGAAGACATCACAGATGCTGTTCTTACTGGTTTAGATTCTAAAGCTTACAAACATGTTATTGAAGCTATCCATGCTCGTGATGAAGCTATCCATGCTCGTGACATTCCCATATATTTTCATGAACTTCACGAAAAACTTATCAACCATGAACTCTCCCTAACTCAAGCCTCATCTATCCCTACAAATATTCATCAGCCTGAAACAGCCTTTTTAGAAACTAAACGCCCATCACATAAACCATGGAACAGTCAAAATTCCAATAATACCCCTCCCCTCCTACCCACCCCTCAACAGCCAAATAGCCCCACCGACAACTCCACTCGCTAATTCCTATGAAAATGCTAATTCTGCTTTACCAAAGGTCATCATCTTACCTCCTGTTATGCCTTCGAGAACAAATACCCACACATTAATCTGCCTTCCCTGCCACGAACCAGCTACAACAACAATTCCCCTCAGGCACATATCATGCATACCACTAACACACCCAACACGAAATGGCTCTTCGATAGAGGTGCATCACACCATATAACCAATGATCTAAATGCATTGTCTCTACATACTCCTTACGATGGCACATATGGACCTGTCATCGGTGATTGTTCGGCTCTTACTATTACTCATGTTGGCTCGTTATTTCTTAAATTCTCTAATACATCTTTCACTCTCACTAATGTTCTCTGTGTTCCATTTATTTCCAGAAATATCACCTATATCTCTTGTTTGTGTATTGACAATCACATACTAATCCAATTCTACTTTTTTCATTTTCTTATCAAGGACTTCAAAACCAAACAGATTCTACTCCGCGGAATGGCTAGCCGAGGGGTCTATGAACTTCGTTCTACATCACCACATCTCTCTTTTCATACACATTCCAATCAGTCCATTCCTTGGCATCATCGACTTGGACATCCACATCTTCGAGTTTTACAACATTTAGCTTCTACTATTCCTTCAATTACTTCTTTGAAAAACAATTTTAATTCTTGTTGCATCAATAAAAGTATCTCTTACTTTAAGTAATCCTCTAGAATTGATTTTCTCTGATGTATGGACATCACCCATTCATTCTTTTGATGGATACAAATACTATATAATATTTGTTGATTATTTCACTAAATACACATGGATTTACCCTTTAAAACGCAAATCTTACTCTCTTATTACCTTTACACGTTTTCAAAATCTTGTTGAGAATTTTTTTTAAACCAAAATCAAACAATTATTTTCTGACAATGGAGGTGAATATATCAAACTCACCTCCCACCTAGCCTCTTGTGGTATTTCCCATCTAACCTCACCTCCTCACACTCCCGAACATAATGGCTATGCTGAAAGACGACACTGTCACATAGTCGAGACTGCTTTGTCCTTACTCTCTCATGTAAACATGCCACTAAAATTTTGGACTTTTGCTATCTCCACCGCCACATACCTAATTAATCGATTACCCACTGCCACTCTCAACAACACCTCACCGTATTTTCAACTATTCCATGAACTACCAAATTATGACAAACTCAGAAGCTTTGGATGTCTTGCATATCCTTGGTTGTGTCCATATACTTATCATAAAGTCGAGCCCAAATCTAAACCATGTATTTTTGTTGGTTACTCTTCATCTCAAAGTGCTTACCACCTCTTCGATCCAATCACAAACAAAATTCATACATCTTATCACGTTTATTTTGTCAAGTCTGAATTTCCATACACATCTCTCACCAAAATAACCACACCACCCACCCTCGAACCTGATACTTGGCTTCCACTTAATCTTCTCTCACTCCCAAATCATCAAAATCAAATCTCATACCCAGCCCATCAGTTTGATCCTCCTCCGAATTCCCCTCTCAACATTCCAATCTCCACAAATAACACCAACACCCACACCCCTACCAATATATCTTCACAACCCACTGGTCTAAACAACTCCATCAATTCATCATCCTCTAGAAATCCTCCTATTCCTCCCACCCCCATTGAAACTACAAAAATAAAAACCAGAAAAAATCCCAAGTGCAATCCCAAACTATCACAACGGTAACTTCATTCTTTATCACTCTACCAAATCTTCTTTTCCAAAACCACAAAATATCACTCAAGCCTTAAAACATCCTGCATGGCACAAGGCAATGCAAGATGAACATGATGCCCTCATTCGTAATCAAACCTGGATCCTAGTCCCACGTGATTCAACCCCTAACATCGTGGGATGTAAATGGGTTTTTCGTACCAAATACCATCCAAATGGTACTATCAATCGCCTAAAAGCTCGCTTAGTAGCTAAGGGATTTCACCAATGACCAGGACTCGATTACATTGAAACTTTTAGTCCTGTTATCAAACCAACATCTCTCCGCCACATTCTTTCTCTAACAATCTCTCAAAATTGGTATTTACGACAACTTGACATTAATATTGCTTTTCTACAAGGACATCTCACATAATCTGTCTACATGTCTCAACCTCCCGGGTTTATTGACCCATCTTTCCATGATCATGTTTGTAAACTAAACAAAGCCATTTATGGCCTTCGTCAA